GCACGAAGAGGCGACTGCAACGGTAGCCAGCAAGCCAGCGGGCATAAAACAACAACAATAACAAATTGGCTCCTGGTCTTTGCATTCCACATGCAATCTGAGACAACAATCACGACAACTGCATTCGGCCACTGCAGCCGGCACCAGAAGCAGCAGCAGCAGCAGTGGCAGTGGCAGTGGCAGTGGCAGTGGCAGTAGCTGTGGCAGTGGCAGCAACACCGGCAACACCCAAGTGCGGGGCGCTGTTCGCTCGAGCAGCAACAACAGCAACCGGCTAACTAACTAACTTATTGACTTGGTCTGCGTCTGCTACTGCTACTGGTACTGCTACTGCAACTGCTACTGCTACTGCTGCTACTGTTGCTGCTTCTGTGTCCGCACCCGAAGTGTGGTCTGGTCTGGCGAAAAATCATGTATGTATTTTTAATAGACCTCTGGCGTGCGGCGGCTGCTGCTGCTGCTGATGATGCCTCCAACTTTGCCTTATTATTTTGTGATCTCATGCAATGCCTGTGGTGCAACCCCACCCCATTTACTCCACACACCTCCCCCCCCCCCTACTCGCCGCAACACCCCTTTACAATTATATCAATTATGTGTTATATTGATGCTTAAATTTATTGTGCGAGTACTTGGCCAAAATGCATAATAACCAAGTCTCTTACTTAGTTTCATTTTGTACTCGAAGCTGCCCGACGAACTATATATATATATATATTGGTTAAATTGGTCAGAGATTATCGAGTGCTCAGGTTCAATCACCTATATATACCATATGCTGATAAGCAGACTGATCCATTAAGTGCGTGTTAGATACGCGTTATGCTTATATTCATTTTTATTTATAGAAAATGCTCGCGGCGTGGTAATTGTTTCTGATAATTGCGTTTAGCACACAATCTGAAGTCGAAGTGGTTTATTGACCAAATGTTTTTTTATTTTATGGCTAGCTACTGGTCTTGTGAGTTAGTTTGATTAGTTGAGTTTCAGTTTAATAGCCTAGCACAGAAGACCAACGCCCACACACCTGCTACCTGTCGCCAAACTGGGAAAAAGAAATGCATTTAAGAATGCTTTTGAATTTTCGTCAAGCAGGGACTACTCGACTGGCCGATGCACTATAGCCAAATCGATATTTATCGATTTTTTTACGAGAATCCGCATATCAAATTCTCCAGCAGCTAAGAGCTCTGATTTTGTTGAGGACACACACAGAGAGATAGAAAGAGAGAGAGAGAGAGAGAGAGAAAAAGAGAGAGAGAGAGAGAAAGAGAGAGAGAGAGAGAGAGAGAGAGAGAGAGAGACGGAGATAAAATAATCATGTTAGCATATCAAGATGTCTTCAAAGTTCAAGTCTCAAAGATGTAACCTCTCCGTCTGCACCACATATTCCTACAAGAATTCCCCTTTCGCATACCCTTTCCGCACATGTTTCGTACGTATAGATTGGAAAGAGCTACAATTTAACCAAATGGTGGTTCCCCCTGAAGTAGCGAAACGTGGACAACGCACCTGTTAATGACCAGCTGAAAATTGTTTGAGCGAAATCTTTTTTAACTGGCGTGAGACATGCCGCCTTGTCAAATGCAAAAAATAAAAATAAATATAAATTGTATTTTCTTTTTATACGCAAAACAAAAATAGCACATTGAAAGTAGAATATTTAAATATAGTTTTTTCGCCAGACGAGATCAAAGGGAAACTACAATTAACACTAGTCCAACCGGCAATTACAATGCTTTTTCTTCTCGTGCCGGAGCTCTGTGCCCCACCCCGACCCGCCCTTCAATGCCCCGCCCTGCCCTGTCCGGGGGTTGTTGCGTGTGGTCTTGGTCTAGCCTTGAAAATAATGAACTATCGAATGCTGCCTTTGGCTTTGACTCATTTCGCATTCCCAATTGTCATCTACATAACAGTTTTGACTGCCTCTGATTGACTGTTTATTTTGCCTTTTTTTTTTAGTTTTTTTTTTCGTCTGTGTGTTTTCGTTTATTGTCCACGAAGTGGGGCAAATTTTATGCAAATGTGTGAATAAGTCAGATAAATAAACATTATTATATAAACGTCTCGACAAATGTCGCGCGCATTTGTTTTTTTTTTTTTATTTTATTTATTCTTAATGCCTTTCTGGGGGTCTGTCGATTGAAAGAGCTCGTTCCGTTTTTTAGTTTTATTTTTATTTATTTTTTGCCTTTTTCCAGCTGAGATTATGATCTGTATCTCTTTGAGCATTTGATGCGATTGCAACTTTGCATAACAGACGACGTCTGGCCGCGCAGCCCAGCCCCACCCGCACCCCCAGCGGCATGTAGGTGTTTCATTTCAAGCCTCAACAATGTGTACACTTATAATGCATAACAGCCAGACGGACGGACAGCCAGACAGCCAGAGAGACAGTCAGATAAGCAGACAGTCAGACAGTCCGGCATTTAAACGGTGTGAAATCCAGACTTTATAAAGTGCTCCAAATTATACAATCATTTTGAAATTCAATTTGGTCCAGACGGCAAAAAATAAAAACCCAAACAACGTTTTTTTTTTTAGAAAAAAGTATCCAAAAGAATCCAAAACGATGATGACATGTGATAAGCGTGTTTTCTTCTTTCTTTTTCGTTTTGTTTGGCTGCGCGACTGAAGAGAGCAGCAGAAAGTAAATAAATAAATAAATCAAGAACGTCCTTGAAGTTTGCGCTTGTGATTTCCGTATATGCAAATTGAAAATAATATTATTGAATGGGTTGTGCAGCAGCAGAAGCAGATATTTGGGACGTGCTTGCAACAAGATATATGTGCTTCATTCTGTTTACATCTGAAACCGATTAATGGTCTAGTAAATGCCAGCTGATCTTTAGATATATGACAAAGTGTGGCTGAGTGTGTGAATGTGAGGTGTTGTAGGTTATTGTAAGAAATGATAAAAAAGTCAGTTTTTTAAAGATTGTGGAAGAGGAAAACTGTTTTTCATTGAAGGTCTTTTGGTAATTTCCGGTTAGTTTCATGCATTTCATAATATTTATGTATGAAGTCTTTTGTTAGATATAAACATAAACATGGGTCGATCATTTATACACGCCTTCGAATCTTCAAATCAATTATTTTGCATACTTATAATAAGAATAAATTATTTATAAAAAAAAAAGCCAGTTGATAGTATTTGGACTGGTTGCACAGCTTGCCCTCAATTTAACCCAGACCCACCCGATTATCCTTTAAAATGTTCATATCGCAACAGAATCCACAATATTATTGGTCATCGTGGGTTAAAACCGTGCCAGGCACCGCCTGACCATACGCACCTTAATAGATTATTTCCGCCGATTTGCTTAGATATATCAAACATGTATGTTCCCATCAAAATGCCTACTAAGTGACACGCACTTCTTCCATTCCCGTTAATCAGCACGCACATTTTCAAGATAACCAAATTTGACCAAATGGTGTATTGTACTCAGGATTATATATATATATGCATGCAAATACAGCCAACAAGGCAACGTCAAGCAAATCAAGAAGACAAATCTTCTATAGATTACACTATAAAGCCATGCGTATAAACCACTTCAAAGCAAAAAAAAATTTAGCAAGCGAAAAAAAGGAACAGATTTTGATAAGGAAATTAGCTCAGGCAATTTAAGTATCAAAACAATTTGATTAAAGTTTATTAGGTGCGTGTTGAAATCAGTTAAATTTTTATATAATCAGCTACGCACTTAAGTGCACAATGCCAAATGAAATCAAAGTTCAAATGGCAAAAGCTAATTTCTGCGCACACAATCCTGCATAGTTAATCACCCAGATTTACAATTACACTTATCAAACTATCAAAAGCATACAAATAATACTTCAAATTATGTGGGCATTATCGGCCCAGGCGGTAGTATTTATAGTAAATAAACACTATCGAACTCGGCGAGTACATTGCCGAATCTCTATGATTTAAAATGTATCTCAAAAAATGCCAAAGTAAAAAATCAAAGAGCAAAGGCATTTCGAGCAGCGTCTACTCCCCCCTCTACGGACCCTTTCGCCCATCAGCCAATACGAATATCACTTTCTTTTGCGATAAGAAACGAGCTTACAAGCACACACACACACACAACGAAACACTCACGCACACAGATAAGATAAGCAAACGCACGGAAAGGCAACGCGACAGCAGCGCTGACGGCGACAGCGACGCAACAACAGCAGAGATCCTCTCGACAGCAGCAACAGCAACAACAACAACAACAGCAACAACAGCGGCAGCAGCAACAACAACAACAGCGACGGCTACGCTGATTTTGATTGGTCGACGACGTCGGCAACACAAAATCCGAACTATCAGCCCGAAGCGCTGCAGCATATACACTGCAAAAATAAATGTGCTTGCGTTTGCAAGCTGAATTTGTTATCACAAAGTCAAATGAATCACAATGTGACTAAACAAAACAGTTTTAGTGCTTAAATTAAATTTTGAACGATTAATAAACCAAAAATTTGTTTTAGTATTAATAAGGAAAGTTTTGAGCAAAGTTATGTGTAATTAAATTTATTAAATAAATGTAATAATTGTGAACTAAATAACTTTAACTCTTGAAATAATATAAAAAAATGTTATGATAAAATGTATTTTAAATATTTATTGTTTCAAAAACTGTCACAAAAGTTTAATAACTAAGCCACATGACTTAATACTATACAGCTGCACAAGAGTTCAGATTGATACGAATTAGTTGTGCACTTTGATTATCTTTAATTGCGAACCGCATACGTTGGCTTAGCGACAGCGAAATTTCTTGCAGTGCAGCCGCGCAGCGCTTTTACGACCATAACAAAGTAGGTATGCCCCGGCACAACCAAATATTTTCTTATTTAAGACTAAAAAACGACTCGTGCAAATCACTTCATACTTGGTTCTTAGAGTGAACACATCGAGAGGCAACAAATTTAAAGGAAATAAATGCAAATAAAATAAAAATAAAAATAAAATAAAAATAAAATAAATAAAATCGGCTAAGAAATTAATGCGGTAGCTAATGTAAAAAAATCACAACTTTGATGTTGGCTTAAGATATGCCATAGCAAAAAAAAAAAAATAGTGTTGATAAACTTTTTACTAAAGAAAAAGACCAAAAACAATGCTAGCAACTATTGTGTTGTAGCTTAAAAAGTTTTGGAAAGTTTTGTGTGAAACAAAAAAACTTTAATTTTTTAGCTGTAATTTGCGTGGCCCAGGCCCATTGTCAAGAACTTGCCAAGCCAATTCGTAAAGCCAAGAAAAAAGAAAAGTAACAAAAAAAAAAAAAACAATGTCAAGTGTTGTGTTGTGCTGTTGTAAGGACAGCAGCCGGCGTTTGCTACTGCTGCTGCTGCTGTGCCTGCTCCTGATGATGTCCTGCGATGCGGCACGCATCAATCGCTCGGCCTTCATGGACGGCGATGTGCACTCCGAGGTGGTCGATCCCAATAATCGCACTATCTGGAACATGTTCAATCTAACCGTGGAGCAGGTCAATCGCATTACCAACGGCAGCAATCCCAGTGGCAAGGGCGAGACAACGCAGGCCACCAAAAATCATTTGCTTGATCACCTGGCCCGGCAGCGGTAAGTACCCGTTGAAAGTCCAGCATCGAGCCGGCGTGTGCCGGCAAGAGCTGTCAATCATTTCAGCTTAAAACTATTTTTTGTCACCCCACAACTTGAAAGCGGCCAAAAATAGAACTCTCTATAAAAAACGAGACAGACATGAAATAAACCAAGCCAAAAAAAAAAAGATTAAGAGCATTGCTGAGCTAAACGAACAAAGCAGAAAAAAAAATTAAAACAATTGCGAATTTAGAACAATAAACAAATTGTGAACTGAAAAAAATTGTGGGAATTTTTCAACAAGTGCACGTTGCAATTAAAATGATTTTTCTTGAAATACGTATAAACAGAAATTTAACTATATAGAATTGGCCAATTTGAGCGAAACATTGTTGGCTGCTGTGCTTGAATTGTCCAAAAACAAAATCAATTGAAGCAATTCAAGGCCAAAACCATATGCATTTCACAAATGTGGCCAAGAACCCCCAGACAGTTTATCCCCATATATATATATATATATATATATATATATATATATATATACAAAGATATAGTATATATAGATATATACGGTTATGGATATAGTATATAGCTTTATGGCTGATCTTGTGCCTCAATTCATTTAATATTTAACACGATTTGCCCAAATGCCAAAAGGCCAAATTAATAAACAATAAACACATGTGTGGAAATTAAGGCTAATAAAATATATTTGTTTCCACACGTGTTGCCGCCTTTTATTGATAAGAGTGCTACAAATATTTGTTGGCTGCCCTCGCCGACCTACCCCTCTGTAGCCCCAAACTGTTGGCTGCTCTGATAAGCGGCCGATTGATTCCAATCAGGCTCGACTGACAACTGTCAACACCTGTCCCAACTAAATATCAAACTGTTCTGTCTCCAATGACAACAATGAACCAGCCAAGGGTGGGGTAAGCTCATATCTATAGCTTAAGCCCAAGCTACATTTGTATCTGTAGCCGTTTATCATTGTATCTATCAGATACTACTTACAACTGGCGAGCACTGCTGCACAAAGCAGACACACACAAGCACACACACACACACACACAGAGAAACGCTGGCGCATACTGAGACGAACTGGCTGCAATTGCAACGAATTCCGTCGCCGGCCTCTGCGTATTTGTGTACGTCCATGTGGCCGGCTGTCTGGCAAATGTCTGGGAACAGTCTGGGCCATGTCTAGCTGGCTCCGTTAATGAACTTTTTGTAGGTCGTTGCTATGCGAGACACATGCGGGCCCATGGGTAGACAAACATACAATACGCTTATACACATAACTATATATATGCATAATAATAATAATAAGATATTCCTGTTAACCCGTTTAATAAACAAACTGCAAAAACAAGAACAAGAGACAATCATAAGAAGCATTTGTTTAATGCTCAGATACAAAGCTACAGATATAGCTGATATAACATGATTTATATACACTAGCATAGGGTATTTGAAGTGTGTCAGGAAATTTTTGCGTTTTAGTGACGAACACATTTGGTATTTATTTTCCTGATCTACATCAACAATCAATCTAAATGGGCATGTCCAACTGTTTCGAAATTATCCAGCCTCCCAGTTCCGAAACTAATTGAGTGTGAATCGATTTTTTCTTTGCCACAGGCAGTGCATATTTAAAAGCCAGACAGATCGCATAACTAAAAATTAAAAAAGACTTTTCTAGACTTAAACTCTTTTCCTTTCAAAAATATTTGTAAGAACTGCTGCTGACGTTGAACCAGCGACTTCTCGCTTAGTGTCAAAAACATAAAGGCAAGCTCACAATTTTTGTTTTATCTTTTGCTTACGCACCATAACATATTTTATATATACACCTTCTGCTCTAGGGTATTTCGACTTCGTCCACCCACAACTAACTCGTTTTTCTTTCTTGTTTCATCTTGTTTGATTGCTTTGGCTGGCTGCGCAGACACAAAACGCTCGCCAGTTATAATTATGACGTATGAGTAATATCGAGACATGGGCACATGGTCATATGTTTACCCACACTCAGGCTCAAAGCTGAGACTCAGACTTATAGACTTGGATGCCTCCTCCTGCTGCTACTCCTCCGCCTTCGCCTCCCCAGCCCTTCCCTGCCCGGCAAAGCAAACAGTTGTAGGCGTATGTTTTGTGGCTACTAAGCGACGCGGTCTACGGTCTGCCAGTCACTGTTGCCATTTGTCTGAGTCTCGTCTGACTAGCTGACTGACTGACTGACGCGCATGCCGGACAACATACGACCGACGTCGGACGACGGACTGCGACTACGACTACTGTTCGTCGACGCATGATAATGAAGTGCAGCCGGCGAGACACTGTCTAGCCGCGCATTGTATATGCGCACACACAAGCTGAGGCTGAGGCTGCGGCACAGACTGTGCCTGTGACTGTGGCTGTGGCAGTGGCAGTCAGCCAGACAGATGAGTTGTAGGCAAGACGACGCATGCTGTGGCCAAAGGCACAAAGACGGTCACAAAAAAACAACAACAACAAAAAAAAATAAATAAGAAAAAAGAAACAGAAGCTGCAACCAAAGCAACCACAAGGCCCGGGCAGACAGTGTTAACGGAGGGGGACAGCGAGGCGCTTTAATTTCAAAAAAGATGCACTTGGAATGCACGCAAAGAGCAACAGCTTAAGTAATACTTAAGTTGCCAGTTTGCCAGTTTGCCAGCTTGAAATGCCCACCAAATGGAGGCCAGAGATTCACCTGTGCCACGAGCTATGCCGCGGCGCATGCTCAATTGGTGGAAAGAGACAGAGAGAGCAAGAGACATATGGCCAGCTGCTTGCAGCTGCGTGAGTCACACCAATATGCTAAGGCTCCTGGCCTGGCTGCGACTGCGACTGAGACTGAGACAACGGCGGCTGCTTCTAGCCTAGCCAATAAAAAGCCACAACCTCGTACAACAAGGCGTCTAGACAGGCCCCAGACAGACAGCAGAGCGAGCACTGAACATCGAACACTAAACAGCTACAGCCGCAAGTCAACAGCAACAACAACAACGACAACAACGACAACAACAACAACGAGTTTTCAAGTTCATGCCACAGACAGTCAAAACGTAACTCCTCAGCGGGCCATTTTGTCTGGCAGGCATTCCTTGGCCCGATCGCACGTTGTATAAGCCAAAACATAAATATGCGACTCGTATCTACATAAACATATATCTACATATATACGTATATATATCTATCTATCTATATATAAATGCGTTAATAAGCCAAAGGCGTTTATGGTCTTTCTTGCGTCTTGGTCTTAGCTTGGCTACGACTCTGGCTTTGGCTTGGTTCACTTTCAGTGCATGTTCCCATAATTATTTTGGCTAGACAAAATGCGCCGCAGGCAGCAATCAGCTCAAGACTGGCAACAGCAACAACAACATTAACTGAACAACAGCTTTAAGCCAGATAAATAAAAAAAAATTATACTTCAAATACATTTTTCAGTCATATTTATTGACCGCATGACCAACAATTTTTAATCAGTTTTGATTTTTTGCCTGCCCCCGCCAGTAGTTGTTGTTGCTGTTGTTTTTTTTTTTTTTTTTTCTGCACAAAACTTTATGCGCAACTTTTGCAAAGCGCGTCTCAATTACCGATCCAGACAGACATCGCACACACAGATACAATTGTCCCATTGTGCGGCTGTATGTGTGCCAGATTAGATCATAGCTACAGTTGGATACGCGCCAACTATTGTTGTCCGTCTCCATCTCTCTCCCTCTCCCTCTCTCTCTCTCTCTCTCTCTCTCTCTCTCTCTCTCTCTCTCTCTCTCTCTCTCTCTCTCTCTCTCTCTCTCTCTCTCTCTCTCTCTCTCTCTCTCTCTCTCTCTCTCTCTCTCTCTCTCTCTCTCTCTCTCTCTCTCTCTCTCTCTCTCTCTCTCTCTCTCTCTCTCTCTCTCTCTCTCTCTCTCTCTCTCTCCTGTTCCCTCTCTGTCTGCTGGTCACAAATAATATTCGCCGTCTCGATGGCTTTTTAAGTGACAGCGGCTCTGAACTTCATCTTCCTTCTCTGCCGTCTGTCACTTATTAGATACATATGTGTATCTGCTAGTACAAAATAGTATCTCAAAAGTGCCACAGCGTAACTTTAAGCTAGTCTAGTTGTAGTTCACGAGTAGTTCGTTAATTGAATGTCGCTTTAGATTCAAATTTTAAACGTTGTGGCATGTTAAGAAAGTAAATTAAAATGGCAACGCATAATATCAAACTGAGCCAAATTTAAGCTGCCAGTTAAGAACTGTAATATTATTTTAAATATTTATTTATGATTTTATAAAAATTGCATTACTTAATAAACTCAAAAATTGTTTAATCAAGAATACAACATTTAAAAAATAAATAAATAAGAAATATAAAAACTTTTACAGCCAAAATCCTAACTTAAATTTGAACATGAATGTTAACAGACATAACATTAGGTTTGCACAGAACCTCAAGCACTCTGTACATTTACAATATGCTACTATAAGATCTTGAAAAGCAGCTTCGAATTTGAAAATATGTTAAATTCTCTAGAATTTACGCCATGTTAAAGGTTTTTTAAGAATTTTTCGTATTTCTCTGCCTGATATAATTCTGCCAGATCCCAAACTAGTTTTAAGAATCTGAGACACAGTCAGTTTCTATTGCTCGAGAGCTGAGCCCGTAAAACACACAACCCAATTTCCACAACAAAAATAAACCAAAAGAATTAGCTTATAAAGAACTAGACGTTCACGTTGATCTGTCGCTCAGTCTGTCAGTCTGAATAAATTGAATCAATGCGCTATAAAGCAGCGCTAAATGGCACGTTTTCATTTATGTACAGCGCGTCTTGTTGTTGTTGTTGTTGTGCGCCAGTTACGACAACGCTCAAATGTCAATTAAGTGGACTTTACATAAACACTTGAGCCAAATTAGTTAGATAGTAGACGCAGTCATAGATCGAGTCACATAGTTGGCATATTTAACAAAACGAGCTGCCTTTTCCTCTTCTTCACAATTGCAGGATTAACGAGATACGCTCACGCATACGGATTGCCGTAACCAAGCCGGACGGCAATGAAAGCCAGGCTCCGGTCGAGCAGAATAGATCGTCGCACGCTAAGGCCGGCTATCCGCTGTGCAATGGCGAGACGACACCCCTCAACTGGCAGCAGTCGACAAATGTGACCCTGCAGTTTGCTAGCAGCGTTTTCCAGCAGCATGGCGATAATCTCAACCTGGACAGCGCCATTTTGCGCTTGTACAAGATGAATCCAAGGGCAGCGGCAACGAGCGGCGCGGGGCAGACAGCAGCCGCAGCAGCAGCGTCAACACCAACAGCGACTGAGGCAGCACCACCCTGCCGCGAACCCTTCCTTGAGTCGCAGATACGCGTCACCGTGTCCATTGTGCACCAGCAGAAGAAGAAACGTAAGTTAGGTGCGTACCTAATACCCCCATGCCGGACGGATAGCTTTATAAACCACTTTTTTGTTCACTTAATCACAGAGCGCAAGAAGCGCACCTGCAACACAATCATGCTGAGCAGCACCAAGACCGGCTGGGTGGACATCGATGTCAAGTGCGCACTCACCTATTGGGCACAGCAGGAGCAGCAGCAGCGGCAGCAACAGCAGCCGCTGCAGCAAACGCACTCGCACCTGCCCATTGAGGTGGGCCTGCTAATGATTGAGGTGCACGACGATGAGGAGAATCAACTGCTGCCCGGGCTCTATTTTCAGCCACCCACTTGCGATCAGGCAGGTAAGCGTGTTGTTAGCCAAGCTTTAACTAACTGCCAGACATGTGTGGAACTTCAAAGAACAGAGCTCGATATATTCCCAAAAATATATTCTCAACTCCAGGCCAGGCCCCTTAAAATGTGTGACATAACAGGCGCAATTTATTTACATTTCGCCAAAATAAAGGTCAATAAGATTCAGCAGGCTTTCTGTTTGTTTCCCACCTCCTCTCTGATTCTCCCAAACTTCCGAGCAGGCAGACAGAAAAAAAAAACAAAGTCTTTTCAGTAGAAATCGAAAGCGCAAACCTCTGCCCAAAAGTTCGTCGTCGCATTTTTGACGAGCTCAGCAAATGGCGAGACTTGGAAAAACTGCGACTGCATTTAATTGCGAGAAATGCCAAATAATGCAATATTTTTATACACATGTATATATATATATATATATGTGTATATATTGAAATATTGAAATGAATGCAAGCACGTTTTATATGCGCTCGCGTCTGTCTGATGAATATCGCCTACTATATATCTTTCGGTGTCGATTGGCACTTACATTAAATGCGCGATTCGTTTCTGCTCTGCCCAAATTGTAACCAACAATGAATCTTACAAGCGGAAACAATTAGTATTAAATAGTATGCGTGTCGCAAGTTGTTGTTGGTAAGATATGCACACACACACACACAAACACAAGCATACGCTCGCTCGCTCGCTACTAATGCAAATTGCTTATACGCAACGTTGTGCGTGCTGTTGTTTTGTTGCTGCCGCTACCGCTGCTGCGGTTTAAGCAGCATCCGCCTTATGTTTAATTATTCCTTCTTATTGCTCTTGCTGTTGTTGTTATTGTTATTATTGTCGTTGTTATTATTGCCGAGAACTAGCTAAGAGATAGCCGCCACTTGCATGTTTGCTCTACATTCTCGCCTGTTTTTTCTGTTTTCTTTATTGGTTTCTTGTTCAGTTGAACAATGCATGTAACTTTTTGGGTCTTTCCCTTTATTTTAATCGTTTATATTTAATGTGTCTTACAGATATTGCAGTCCCATGGTCCGTCTACGGACCAGGAACGACTATGCCTAGTATGGAAAACAACACAGTGTCCAGGTAAGGATTGCTAAATAAATTGCCGGATCAAATCTTTAGACAAAATGTGAAACTTCTTTTTTTTATGAGATAACCACGCCCCCCAGAATAAAGTAGTTTAAATTATTTTATATAACTTTCTGCGCTGAAAAGTAGGCAATACTTAATGCAGGTCCCCAAATGAGTCACAAAAAATGTTGCCTACTTTTTGGCGAACATTAAACAATTTTTTAGTTTTAATGAAAGCTCAGCAAATAAAAAAAATTATTTTGTTAACTTTTTCGCTAAAATATTGTAAAAAAAAGTGATCTAACATAATAAATAAATACTTTTTATAATTATGAAATAAATATAATATATAAGTATAATTTGATCGACAATCGAACACTTTCACCAACAGATGCCCAAGATTAGACGTTAGATTCTTGGGTAACGGTCTGCTGACGAACAAGAGCTTTGAGAACCGAACCAATGGCAGACTGGAGACCCTAAAGCATCAGGTGCTCCATCCATCGCGCAGTCGGGAGCATTTCAATACCGAATCAACCACATTGAATTCACCCACAATTGACAACAATCTGGAGAATAGCGAGAACGAGAGCGAGGAGAACGAGCAAATACATCATCATCGTCGGCGTCATCATCATCAAAGTGTTGAGTGTGCCGCAATGGACGCCGATGAATCCTATCAGCAACATCACGCGCGGGCGCATCATAACCACCATCACCACCATCAACAACACAACAATCAGAACCACAATCATCAACATCATCATCACAAGCATCGTCATGCTGTGCAGAACGAGGAGTAGATGCATGAAGATCAATGGCTCCTTGTGGCCACAAATGGGCAGAAGAATTACCAATTCCATAGCACATGCATTCAACGATTCATATCCCACATGCTGGTCTTTAATAGTTTATTGTTTTTGTATCTTTAGGGCCAGAGTTGACTTAATTAGTTTTTTAGTTCATGTCATGCATGCTTTTATTAATTTTTTTTATAGTCTAACTTATTTTTTAACAATTTGTTTAAGTTAAAAATTTTGACAAATTACTCGAAATTTGTATCTTTTTATATATATATATATATATATTATTTTTTTTTTATGAGAGTATACATATATGTATATTTATATATGTACACATATTGTTTATATCTCTCTTATATTAGGAGTCTGTGATTTAGACGTGGTTGAATTTTGCGAATTTTTTGCTTAAATTAAAATAGAATTGTTGGAACCTCAAAACTAATTTCGATACGAATATAAAAGGTAGATGATATATATACATATATACATATTATTCAAGCAGTTGGCCCTTGCTAGCAAATTTATAAACAAATGTTAAACAAATAAAACTGCATTTGATTTAGAATGCGCGAGTATTTTCCAGGACAATGCGAATAAAATAAGGCTTAACAACACACATACATGCAAGCATAAGCATAAACACACACACACACACACACAAACACAAGCAAGTTTCGTTATTTAAGTCACTAGATTAAAAAGTGCCTTCCTTTTTATAGAGCCACAAACATATTTATGTGTTTAATTATCAAACCCTTTGCCTAATCTCTCAAAATTTCTGTACATACTTTACTATAATTGGAAGAGCCACAAGTTCTGCTCAAAAACCGATGTTTGTCTTTTTCTCTAATTACATATTACTTAATTAAACTTAACACCTTTTATAATATAACCAGAAAAGCAAATCGTAAATAGCTAAGCTTATAAGTACAAATTCTATAACTTGGCATATACAGAACGATAACAATTATATTACCGATAATAAAATCAAAAAAATAAAAACAATTCAAAAAAAAAAAAAAAAAAAAAAAAATTGAGTACCTAACGATTTTTATTATCTCTATTGCTTTGTTGTTCTTTTTCATATAATTGTTTGCTCAATACTTTGTTCAAGTGGCACGTTAAGTTGTCTTGCAATCCCATCACTTTGATAATCCACACTCGAATCGAGTCAATATATATTTATATATAAAAATAAACTACTATCAATTGCGTTAGGCTTAACAAGGTGTCCACCCAACAACAGATATCCACAATGGAGATTTGCTAATGGAATCGCTTGCTTGCAGTTATGATTAGCTATATGCCATATAATTAAATATGATAATATGATTAAATATTCAGCCAAAGAGCTCTCTTAATTGCGGCCCCTCTGTTTATTACTCTAACAGCCCTTTGTCGTGACGGTTACTTTTGTAGAGTTCTGTGACGTTCTGAAGTTATCTTCTCAAAATATTAACATTGGCTCATGTACCTCATTTCAAATATAACAAGCAGCTGATAAGCCAACAACTAGCTACACTGTCAACATTAGAAAGATGCTAGAATAAAACAGTTCTAACCAAAATACGCAGCCAGGTTTGCGTTTATTAGCTGACTCTATCGTTCGCATCAATAAATTATTTTTCTGTGGAGAATTTCAATTGCTGTTGGTAAAAAAAAAAAAACCCCAAATTAATGCCAAAAGCGCCTCTGAAAAAATCCAGTTAAGTAAACTTACTTGTGTTAATTCTATAAATTTTAAATTTAACAAATAGAAATTCTATTGGAAATTTAGAAAAAATATAGAAATGTGGGCGAGCAATAACTTACAGCCATGATTTACATGACATTTTCAAGGCATTTGCTTTTTGCTTTTTTTAAAGATTTGTTAATAAAAACTTGTCACCCGTTTGGCACAGTGTTTTACTTATTATAACTAGCTTTGCGCAGTATCAAGTGTTTTTAATCTTGCCACGACGTTCGATCAGTTAACATGGACTCGGCATTACTCGCGACATTACCTGAGCTGATGTTTAACCAACTGGCATATCATTAACTTTATTAAGCCTATGTGCGTGTGTTTAAACAGTTAAAACAAACGAAGGTTGTAAATAAACGCAGCTCAAAACGTGTTTGCTACGCTATAAATGAGATAACAACAATAATAACAGATATAAAGGTGAATTACCCGTTTGAAGTAACAAAAAAAAAATAATAATAATATATATAACTACCAAGAAAAGAAAAAACACAAAACACATTTGTGTAAACAACACAATCACAATCTTTTAATTGGAAAAGTTAAAACCAGCCAGCCAATTGGCAATTTAAAAAAATAAAAAATAAAAAATAAAGCTGCTTTTGCCGTGAGAAATTTAAATTACGTCAGGGAATTTTAAGATTAGCTTTTAATGTCCAATTATTGTTTGAACCCTTCTAATGACTCACATATCTCGTAATCTCGAAGGATTAACGTTTATGGCTAAAGTAATTCCTGGGAAATCTGATTGCGCTATCAAGGCCGAAAACGTTTTTTAACATTCAATTATATGGCCAATGTCATGCTTTTGTCACAATTTATGGTAGCATACATCCTGTTCCCATTCTGATTTACGACAACGTCAATATATTGATTACGGCCTTACCGTGGCGCATAAAAAGAGCCAACGCAGGATTACAGGCACACTTGATCACAACTGACTTTCGAACCACTTAAGAATGGTGCTCCACGTGCTGCTCGGTTTATCGCGGCCAGTTATCGGTAATATATGCCCCAGGCATGGGGTAATTTTATTTCGTACATACTTGAACATAGTTCCTCGTTTGATAGAGATTAGGAGAAAAAAACAAGAGGGCTCTTGTCGGGCGTTCTCAACTTAGAGATACCCTGCGCTCAGCGACGAGCTACAGCTATAAAGACATCTGCAAGATATTCTATATTTCGAATTTGAGATCTTTAGCTCTTATCAGCTTCGAGTTATGCCTAAAAAACGAATTTCGATAACGATTTTATGAAAACAATTTATCGATTACATAAAATAGATCCGACATCAGAACCTATGCTCAAAATTGCAAGTCTCTAGCCCTTACAGACCTTAAGATCAACAAGCTCATACAGAAGGATGGACAGATAGATATGGCAAAATCGACTCATCTGTCTTTTACAGACATTTGCACAAAAGCAATTTACCCATTCTCAATGGGGGTGTTCATAGTATAATAAGTCAAGTATATATCAAGATAATCGACATCTGAAATTTGAGTTCTCCGCAAAAAAAAGGATTTCGATATAGATTTTTATCGATTTCGTGGCAAAGAGTTATCGATTGCATAAAATAAACCCCATATATTCGCGCATTAACAGACAGAGATATTCAAAATTTGAATCGTATAGCTCTTGTCAAATTTTAGATTAACAGTCGGATCGTCTTTTCTGAATGTTACAGACACTTGCAGAAAACAAATTTACCCCGTTTACCCATTTTCATCAAGTTATACTTGTCATAAAAGAACGAATATTGTGCCGTTATCAATGACAGAATCGCAACGTTTATATAATTTAAGATGGACAGTAAAACTTCAACAGGTGCCATTAACAATGCTTATGAATTGAATCATGTATGTATACACAATACAAAATACAACACAAAAAATTCAATTGAATTAACTACTTACCCCATTTTTTTTTTTTTTATTATAGACTGACGTACATCAGTTACATCAGGTATGCATTGGACTGTGCAGCTGTTTCCTTGAATATATTCCATTAAATATCTCATCGCTTGCAGACTGATTATCAAGTTGATTATATCCATGATCAGGAACCTATGCAGAATGGTGGCGCCACGGAAACACAAAAGAACAAAAAATTCATACGTTGGATTAAAATAGGTTTTCAAATACTTTTACAAATCGGTATTGTGGGCTACTTTTCCTATGCCACATATCACTATCACGATCTGAGTACGTATATACACCAAAATATATACAAATAAATACATAAAATAAAATAAAGTTCACGATTTGAACCTTGGCTTGGTTCAAGTCTTACAGTTCAAATTCGTCTATATATGAACCCAGCTTAACTTCGGCCATATTTTATTAATTTTAACAGATAAATATGACTGCAAATATGATATTAGTCTGCCGCTATGTGGCATACGCTTCTGCACCGGCTATGGCATGCTTGTACTGCTGCTGGGCTTCATCTACTTGGGTCTATTCTACTATCTGATATTTAAGCCCAAATTGGGGCGATCATTGCACAAGAACTTTCTGCATCCAGCGTCCGTTAGATGGCATAAGTTCTCCAGAACGCGGTAAGTATATATAATATTGGTATACATATATATAAAACATATTTATGATAATATAAAGACTGAAAAATTTAGAGATTGAATCAGGTAGAACCAGTCAAAAAAGTGAGATAAAACAGGAAATACTTGACCCAAGCATGAAAAACTTATTTCTTATTAATCGCTTTCAAGTAAGAAAAAAGTTAAATCAGGTTTTGTTTGATTCAATGTGAAGTCTAACAGAGCTCATTACAATATTTTGAAAGTACGAAAAAACTCATATCAAGTTTTGTTTGCTTCATTTTTCAACCCAACTGAACTTAGTTCAAAAACTGAAGTCAAGTTTTGTTTGTTACATTTTCAGATCATTAGAAAAACTGAAAAACTAAATAGCCTCAATTGAAGACGCCCAATGCTTAAATAATTTATATTTTTTTCATATTTCTAATAATAATCTTGATAATAAAATTAGGCATTTACTTAATTGATTCTAGTCCATACTATACTTGGTTTAAGCTTAATTATGATTGTATGAAGAACTTCCATAACCAAGAAAATAGTCAATATCTGCTAAGCTTGGGGTATACCCCGACTTTGTTAGTGGTACGTATAAAATAAAATATCTGCAAGTCCTTTGAGAATGAGTAAAAATCAGATTTGACCGAGTAATGGAGGTGGGAAATTTTGAACTATGTCTACAGAGGATATTTGAGGGTACCATTTCCACATGAATTTATACCAAAAATAATGTTACCAGACTTTGATGGTCAAATCATGAACAAAGAGCCAAACTTCGTGAAAATCGGATGAGATTTGACCGAGTTGTGGGAAATTGCGACCTATGTCTATAGTTAGTCAGTCTGTCAGCTATTCAGTCAATCA